CCCTGCTTGCTGAAACTGAGGAGGACCTGAAGCGCTTGCTGCAGAGGGTCAAGGACTGCAGCCTTCAGTATGGATTGAGGCTCAATGTCAAGAAGACAAAGATTCTTACCACTGGGCCAATTAGCAGCATCAGGATGGATGGTGAAGAGATTGAGATTGTTCACAGCTTTAGTTTGCTTAGCTCCACAGTCAACACTCTTGGAACCAGTAGCCAGGAAATTAAAAGGCACATTGCCATGGGAAAGTCTGCTGTTAGGGACCTCTCTAAAATACTGAAGAGCAACGGTGTCTCTCTGGAGACTAAGGTGTGCCTGATACAGGCCATGGTCTTTGCAATCACTTGTTATGCATCAGAGACAATGGACAATGACCAAGGAGGATACAAGGACAATTGATGCCTTTGAGCTGTGGTGCTGGAGAAGAGTATTGAGGGTACCATGGACTGCTAGGAAAACCAACAAATTCATCCTGGAAAGGGTTAAACTTGGTGGCTCCTTGGAGGTAAGGATTCTGAGGCTCTATCTAACATACTTTGGACATGTTGAAAGGACAGACCGGTCCTTGGAGAAGGACATCATGCTTGGGAGGGCAGAAAGACAGTGCAGGAGGGGAAGGCCCTCTATGAGGTGGATTGATTCAGTGACTGGGGTAATCAGGATGGGATTGTCAGAGACAATGAGATTGGCACAGGACAGACCCGAGTTTAGGGCTGTTGTACATAGGGTTGCTATGAGTCGCAAGCAACTCGACGGCACATAACAACAACAACGTTAAAGTGTAATCTATAGAAAAGGTTAGATTTTTAGTTTCAACTGTATGTACTCCAGTCTTATGCATTTTCAAAAACAAGGTTGTCATTTGCATAACAAGATGTTGATGAATCTTCAGTCATTTCTTCATATAATACAGTTTAGCAGATATGGTGAAAGGATATAACATGCCTCTCCTGATTGTAAACCATGCCATATCCCCTTATTCTTGCTCAATGACTATTTCTTGTTCTATGCACAGGTTCTGCATGAACACAATCAAGTGTTCTGAAATTCCCATTCTTTACAATGTTGCCTAAAATTTATTATGGTCTACTCCAGAAGAAGAATGATGTTGCATTCTTAAGTAAAATGACTATTGCAAGATCTCTTCTCAAGTACGGTGCTGTGAATTATAGGATACTATCCCAGTATGTACAAGGAAGACCTATTAAAAGAGCTATTGTTCAAATATACACAACCACAGTTAAAGTCAAAGACAAGGAAATTGAACATTTTTACCAACTTTTTTCAATCTGAAATTTACCAAACATGCAGTCAAGATGTATTAAATTGGTAACTGGGATGCAAAAGTTGGAAACAAAATAGAAGAAATGTTATTCAGAAATTAAGGCATTAGAGACAAAAAATGAGACTAGAGATCAAATGATTGAATTTTGCACATTCAATGACTTATTCATTACAAATACCGTTAAAAAAAAGAACAACAGATGGTGACTATACACATGGACCGCACCTGAAGGAGTACACGAGACTCAGATCAATTACATCTATGGAAATAATCTGCTGGAGAAGCTCAAAATCAGTAGTTAAAGTCAAGCCAAGTGCTGACTGTGGAACAGCCCATCAATTACTCATATGCCAATTCAAATTGATGTTGAAGAAAGTGAAAACAAATAGACAAGAACCAAAATACAAACTTGAGTTTATCCCAGTTGAATTAAAAAATCATCTCCAGAATGAATTTGAGACATTAAACACAAATTATCAAAGACCAGATGAATTGTGGGATGACCGTGAAGATATCATCCATGAAAAAAAGCAAAAGATCCTTACAAAGACAGAAGAGAAAAAAAGTCCAAAATGAATGTCAAAAGAGATTCTGAAAATTGCACTAGTGTCAAAAACCTAAAACAAAGGAAAGTATGCCAAAAGAAAAGAGATGAGCAGAAGATTTCAAAAGGCAGCTTAAGAAGACAAAGCAAGATATTATAACAGAATGTTCAAAGAGCTGAGTTAGAGAATAAAAAGGGAAGAACACACTGGAAAAGAACTGGAAAAAGAAATTCAAGTCTCAAGTTGCATTACTGAAAGATGCCATGGGCAAAATCTTGAATTATCCAGGAAGCATCAAAAGAAGAGAGAATATACAGACACTGTACAAAAAAAGGCTTGTTCGACACTGAAGTATTTCAATAAGTAGCATGTAATAAAGAGCCAGTTGTGATGAGGGAAGACGTTCAAGCTGCTTTGAAGACATCAGTAAAAAAAAAAAAA